TAGCTTTCCCCTTTTTCATCCATTTGTCTGTCTGACCCTCTGTCTGTCAGTCTGTCTGTTTCACTTAAAGTTTATTTTCTGCACTAAGTCTTTTACAAAATATTTAATGATATTGCATATCTTTAGCTGACTTTTGATGTGCAAGTCTATCCAGATAAGTTATAGATTGCATTTCATTCCCCTTCAATGATTATAAAGGAATAAAAATTCATTAAAATTTTAAGTAATTAATTACATGCATAAGCGCTTCCATCATCTTGGGTTTGATGATAAAAAAAAAACAATCTCAATACATCCACTGGATTTGACATGCATTACATTTAAGCCTCATGATCTCAAACTCAAAGGGACTGAGAAACAAAAATTGAGATATCCAGAGATTTGAGATATAGAGGATAAAATGCAGAATAAGTCATTGGGACTTCCAAATCACTTTGGCATATCCATGGTAACAAGTAATGGAGATATTGGTGTTAGATATACTCAAGATCAAGTGTATATGATTTAGATGATAGTTGACATAGAAACAGCTGATTTTAAAGAAACATGCAAGTTTTCATATCAAATGACAATAGGCATACTAAGAGTAAGAAATAAGAATTCACATAAAATCAAATATTTCTATGGCCCTCCTACACCCTGGTTCATTTTTCTCTCCTTGTAATTAATGAATAGGCCAAACCTTCTGATATAATAACAACCAAATAAAGACACAAAGAAATTCTGGAAATGACTGGTCTGGATATTGATAATTATTGATTGTATAACTTTACAAAAATCTTTCAAAACATCAATAGAGTTGTTATCAAAACAACTAAAACTTAATACCATATTCATTATCAATAACATGTATGAAAAATATATGGTGTCACTGTTAATTAGCCTGGTTTGATAGAAATCCAACAGTTGACAATTGTTTCATAATAGGCACATCTTTTGTTCATGCTGCGAATGAGTTTATAACAAATTGTTTCATCATGTCACGAAATACTACTTAGCAAGTTTAGCAAAATAATGAGAGGTAAATTATGTCAAAAATATTTTTGTGGGAAATTACTATTGATAGAAATAATCTGTATTACATACAAACAAATGTAAAAAAAAATAATTAAAAGAAGTAAAAGGTTTGTATATGTGCTAAAGTGACCCTCTAGCTAGCTATTTGTGATGTATCTACCAAAGCATCCAGTTTTCAATCATCCCATCATCTTGTTAAATAGATAAATTGGAATGTCATTTATGGCCTATTGGGTCAAACTACTGCTTGTTAATTCGAAAATATTTCACTCATAGAGAGATGTCACCATATACCAGTGATGGGCTTCTAATTCGACCTTTACTTGGCAAATAAGGCCATTTGCAGTGAGGGATCTTTTATCGTGCAAACGCCCACTGTAACACAGGACCTCGGTTTTTAAGTTCTCATCTGAAAGACCCGCAACTTTCACCACCTATTTAATTTATCAAATTAGATCAGTCGCAGCTGACATTTAAACTTATGACCTTCCAAAAACGAAGCGAGCACTCTACTGAGCTACCATGACAGTCCGGTTCTGCCCATGGTTAAGAAGATTGTTTAAAGAATTTTTTCTTTATATTTTAATGTAAAACCTTGATTCCCCATTTTGACCCCCCTACCCATGGTCCAAGATTTGAACAATTTATTATCTACACTACCTCAGAAAGCTTACACATAAGTTTCAGCTTTTCTTGTTCAGTGGTTCTCTAAAAGAAAGATTCTAAAGATTGTTCCTTTATATTTCAATACATGTATAGAAATTTCATAGTGGCAAAATTTTTAAATATATGTTTTGAGTTATAAGATTCTCCCGATATAAAATAATTTTCAAAAATTAAATAATATGTTACTTATTAATAATCACTTTCATTTACATTCTAAATATTGCATGCATTTGTAAATCAAAATCTAATGGATCTTTATTTTCCATATGTGAATTAGTTTAGGATATTTTTAAATGGATGTTTTTCATTAAAAACTAAGAATAGTGATACCCTTATTCTTTGTTTATAAAGAAGAAATTTGACAATAATAGTGACGTCTTTGCTTTGTTTATATTGAGGAGATTTGACAATAATAGTGACGTCTTTGCTCTGTTTGTGAAGACTGAAGATTTCACAATAAATGTTATAAGGGACATAACTCTGTCTAAAATGGATAGATCGTACCCAAAACAGACCATTACCCAGATATTCTTATGATAAATCTGTATACTAAATTTCACTTCAATATGTGCAACCTCTGCGAAGAAAACGAACGGAAACTGATTGTGGACGGACAGTTAGACCAACTGACTGACCAAAAGCAGCAGATTTAAAAAAGCTGAGATAGACAGATGGACAGACATGAATGCCTTACAATATTTCCACCATCTTAAAGTTCAAGGCCCAATTTCTGGGTAAGAATTGATTTTTCTTTTGTTTTTCTACATTTGCAAATGTTAAAATTATGTTAAAATAATAATACTTACTTCAAATTCAACCAAGGCTTGGTGTTTTCTTGGCATCAAAACTATATAGCTGCAAAAGAACAAGTAAAATTTTTAAAACAAGTCCTTTTTTGAAGCAAGATTTACAGTGGAGCCTCATTTATCCGGACGCTTTGGTTCCTATTCAATTTGTCCGGATATGTGAAGTGTCCTGATACCTGAATCACCAGTTATGCAAGACAATATAACATTCAAAAATTCCGTTCCGATGAAAAATCGTCCAGATACTGAAGCATCCGGATATCTGGCGTCCAGATATCTGAAGGTTCACTGTACATTATAATTAGTATATATTCATGTTATACTTTGATGACATCATCATATTAAACACCGGTAAAAGTAGAACTGTCCAAACGGGACAAAATACCCCCCGCTGGGTTTTTCAGAAGTAAGTTTTTCCATAAGAAAGATATGGACCGGACACGAATTATGAAATTTTTCTTCCAGTGACCTTGAAGTTCCCCAAATGACCTTGGGTCAAGGTCATGACACACCTTTGGGTCATGGGCAATCTTTGTGTGAAATGAGAACTACCAAGCTTATCCATAAGAAAGATATGGACCGGACACAAATTATAAACTTTTTCTTCCAGTGACCTTGAAGTTCCCCAAATGACCTTGGGTCAAGGTCATGACACACCCTTGGGTCATGGGCAATCTTTGTGTGAAATGAGAGCCTACCAAGTTTATCCATAAGAAAGATATGGACCGGACACAAATTATAAACTTTTTCTTCCAGTGACCTTGAAGTTCCCCAAATGACCTTGGGTCAAGGTCATGACACACCCTTGGGTCATGGGCAATCTTTGTGTGAAATGAGAGCCTACCAAGTTTATCCATAAGAAAGATATGGACTGGACACAAATTATGAAGTTTTTCTTCCAGTGACCTTGAAGTTCCCCAAATGACCTTGGGTCAAGGTCATGACACACCCTTAGGTCATGGGCAATCTATGTGTGAAATGACAACCTACCAAGTTTATCCATAAGAAAGATATGGACCTGACACAAATTTTGAAATTTTTCTTCCAGTGACCTTGAAGTTCCCCAAGTGACCTTGGGTCAAGGTCATGACACACCCTTGGGTCATGGGCAATTTTTGTGTGAAATGAGAACCTACCAAGTTTATCCATAAGAAAGATATGGACCGGACATAATTTATGAAATTTTTCTTCCAGTGACCTTGAAGTTCCCCAAATGACCTTGGGTTAAAGTCATGACACATTCTTGGGTCATGGGCAATCTTTGTGTGAAATGAGAACCTACCAAGTTTATCCATAAGAAAGATATGGACCCGACACGAATTATGAACTTTTTCTTCCAGTGACCTTGAAGTTCCCCAAATGACCTTGGGTTAAAGTCATGACACATTCTTGGGTCATGGGCAATCTTTGTGTGAAATGAGAACCTACCAAGTTTATCCATAAGAAAGATATGGGCCGGACACGAATTATGAACTTTTTCTTCCAGTGACCTTGAAGTCCCCCAAATGACCTTGGGTCAAGGTCATGACACACCCTTGGGTCATGGGCAATCTTTGTGTGAAATGAGAACCTACCAAGTTTATCCATAAGAAAGATATGGACCGGACACGAATTACGAACTTTTTCTTCCAGTGACCTTGAAGTTCCCCAAATGACCTTGGTCAAGGTCATGACACACCCTTAGGTCATGGGCAATCTTTGTGTGGAGCAGTAGATTCTATTGTCCCTCTGTAAGAAAGATATGGACCGGACACGTTTGCACAGACAGACGGACGTACGGACAGACGGACAAGGTGATTCCTATATACCCCCCCAAACTTTGTTTGCGGGGGGCATAATGATCCATAAAAATCAAGCAATTCAGATAACAAATGATGTCTTGAACAGCTGCTAACAAATATGCATCATTTAAGCCACTGATCACTTCATTTCACCCAAAAATCACTGTTTCATCATAAACATTTCCTGTGAATTTTCCTTCAAAAGTAAACAAAATACTTTTCATACTATTCAAAAATTAGTATCCTTTTTTAAAAAAAAAAAAACTGTATTATATGATTTTTTTAAATTAGCAAAGTAATAAAAAGGATTTTTTAAAGAAATATTCTATATTGACTTGACTGTCAGATTTTTTTTTTAATTACACCAACATCTCCGACTACCTGACTGTTCCAAACTGCTGCACGGCATCCTTGAGATCCTGTTCCAATATGTTCTCTGCCAGCCCTCTGACATGTACCACTTGGGATGGGGAGGGATTCAATGGATTCTCATCCTAAAAGGAATCAGAATCACAAAGTGGTACAAAATAACATATGAAATATTTATAAAAATACAATACAGAGTATAAACAAAGACGTAGGAGCCACAATATTCACCCCAGTCACTTTAGCCCTGCTGTTCTTCAGATTTAATCCTCCCATACCCACCCCAAATAACTATAGTACTGTGACAATGTTTGACACAATTTTATAGCTTTACCCTTGCCAAAGGAAGTGCAGAATTTGAACAGGTTTAACTCTGCACAATTTGGGAATGTTTGCATTATAAATATGATATAGTGTGGCCCTTTTCTCTTGAAAAGGTTTTTTTCCCTACTTATATACACTTGGTCTGGTATTTTTTTTTTACTTTGAACTGATCTGAGTTCTAAGAATTTTAGGGCTATATATAAATATAATCAGTTATTTTGTGCCCAACATATTTCTTGAATGAAATCATACATAAAGATCAGTTCTGGTCAATGTCTTGATGATACTACTGCTTGATAATATTATACCCATGCCTAACTTGATACAACAACAGTCTTCTACATAACCCAGGAGTTCAATGCCCGTGACCTGGTAAATTTGCAAGCAAGCATGTGAAAATTGCCAAATTACACATGTGAATTTTTTTTTCAGTGCATGTCTGCATGCATGCCAGTGCATGGCAGTGGCAAGGGATAGAGTTTTTTGAAAAGTGGAAAACAATGGTTGGTTGCGTCTATAATTACTCTATATTTCGATGCATTTGAAATTTTTGAAGCGATGGAATTTTTTAAGGAAAATCAATTCTGGGCACAGTTCTGCACACTTAAGGTTAGACACTTTCGTTTTCCCCAAAAATTCGGCTCTGAATCGGCGAGGGATGTAAAAAATCGTTGCATACCTGGTGTATATATATATAGAGGGGGTATATATATCACTCCAGTCTCTAATCAAGCATTTAACGGCTTATTGATAGAAATTCAGAGGCCTGTGGTAGTAGTCACAAACAACTTTCAATATTTTAGCTTTGTCACAAAAGAATGTTTAAAAATCACCAAATTTCACTATCATTAAAGTCTTTGCATTTTATAGAAAAAGTATTAAAGCATTAGGTATAACAGTATCTTACATTATCTCGTCTCTGTCGTTTTGAAACATGACCCTCGTATCCTGACGCCATCTTGACTTCTTTCGTTTTTGAGATTTTTACCGACATGCCGATCCCGATCATACGACCTCGTATATTGTTCACATTTCACCTTGCGTAGACTTTTTTTCCCCTCTCCTGACCGACTTTCAGCAATTAAGCTTCAGAACTGTAGCTCTCAAAAAAAAAAAAAAGATATTGAGAGACAGGAGAGCTACCTATAGAAAAAAATGTATATTTATATTGCGCAGCACAAAAAGTTGCGCCCATTTTTTGGTTTTATTTATTAAAATTCTTACCTCAACATACTGCACATAATCGATTTCCAAAAAATCTTTAGACCTATAAAAATATCAAATAATATCATAGTTGGCATCTTCACGAAGCCTGTTGGACCGAATAATCTTGCCACTCAAAATAGGCGAAATTCTCAATGGTTTCAAACTTTCAATTTCAGGTCGAAAGGGGGGCTCTTAGCAACGGTTATAATGAAGGTGTTGTTGTGGAAATAGGAAAAGAACGTGTTAGGAAAACATAGTTAGTAATATTTTGAGAAGGCAGTTTGAAAAAAAAAAATCGGAGAAATAACATTGAGAAACAGCGCGCACTTATTGTGCGCAATAAATAACTTTTTTTTCCAATTTAGGGTGGTAGGGTGGCAGTGTAGCTCTTAGCTGCAGATCTGTAGCTCTCCGAAAAAAATATATTGATAGACCGGAGAGCTACAGAGCCACCCATTGAAAAAAATGTATATTTATTGCGCACAAAAAAGTGCGCTCGGTTCTCGATTTATTTCTACACGTTTTTCAAACTGTAATCTCAAAATATTACTAACCGTGTGTTCCTAACATATTCTTTCGCTTTTTCCACAACCAAACATTCCTCGTAATTGTTGTTAATAGTCCTCTTGGCCCTGATATTGTAATCATCGAACATTTCGCTAATTTATACTGCCATTTTGGTTTCAAAGATAATTCGGTCCAATATGCTTCATTCGGATGTCAACTAAGAGAGTACTTGATAAAAGATAAAGGAATTTTTTGAAATCTTTCCTTATTTGCAATTGAGGTAAGAATTTGGAAGAATTAAGTAAGAACCGAGCGCACTTTTTTGTGCGGAATAAATATACAGTTTTTTCAATGGGTGGAACTGTAGCTCTCCGGTCTATCAATATATTTTTTTCGGAGAGCTACAGATCTGCAGCTATGTAGCTCTCTGGTCGTCCATCTCAATAGTTACCGACCGACTCGCTAAAATGTTTTTATTCATTTTTATTCATTGTGCATTTTCAAAAATACATGTATATGATGATGTATATTCGCAAGAGTTGCTGTTTAAAAATGATGTCAATTACATAGAAAGTATATTAATTTTCTTGATGCACTTGAATGTGAACATCGCTAAACAAACATGACACAGCATGAATGTAGTACAAAGAGGGGATCTTTTTTTTTTGTTCGAAAAAGGTTAAGTATCCCGAATCAAACCCCCTTTTCTGAATTTTCGAAATAGGATAATTGGACAACCCTCCTTATTTGTATGTCCAAGATCTCGCCCCACCCCCACCCCCCTCATCGCTACCATCATGCACTTTCCAATCGATCTCATCTATCCGGTTACATCAGTTT